GCACTGACAGACCAATGTTTTGAATGAAATAATAATTGGTGTGGTCAGATTTCCCTTATGTATACCAGTGCTTTTCAAAATGATTTATTCAAATACTGTCCTCGCAGAACAAGGCCGAATTAATTGTCAAGGACACGTCTGTCGTGTAGCAATATAGTTGGTCCAGTGCCAGTCTACCTAATGCAGGGTGCGGTTCTCGCGATATGCAAATTACCGATGCTGGCTACCAAAACCACTGATTCAATGTAATGCCCCCAAAATAAACCATGCAGTTCAAAACAAAAGTATCACGCGTTGGTCAGAGGTTATCGTCAAATTGCGCAAACTCAAAGACCGGAGTGAATAATTGTTAATTAATTTCTTAACAAAAGCAAGATAAAGACTAACCAACTTTTCCAGGTTTAAACAATCGGTACTGTCTTGTGACATTAAGAACGTTTACAATTGTAATGTCTTAATAGATGTAAATTAAAAACATTGACAATAAAAAGGCATTATTAGAGTATCATGAATATGGTCAAAACGACCGCAGATATTGATCAAGAAATAGGCATTCAAATAAATAACATAAGTAAATAAGGAGCGTCACAGCGTGACGGACATTTGCGTTATATAAGAAGCCACCATTATTACTATTATTATTACAAATGGAGAAGGAAATATCCAAAAATGCTGAAGGAGATAGGGAGAGGAAGGAGAAACAAAAGGTGTAAAAAAAGAAACACAAAGGCGACATGAAGAGAGAGGAAAAGACGTGTGTGCGAGGAGAGAGAATTGTAAAGATAGAACAAAGAGAGGGAAGATAGAGAAAGAGACACATAAAGAAGAAGATAGAGAGAGAGGGTGAATGAAAGAAAGAGAGAGAAAGAGAGAGAGAGAAGGATCGAAACATAGAAAAGGGAAAACAAAGGAAGAGTTAAGGAGCGACATGAATATACAAAAACTTAAACAAAATGCAATAAATAACATTCTCCTCCATATCAAGGTAAAAGTGTAATTTTAACATTTGTAAGGCTTAGTGTAAACTTTAAATACACAAACATAATTTCCTGAATGTGTGAATAGAGATGCACATAATGGATTATTATAGTTTCATTCAAGTAAATTATTTACAGAAGGCACATCAGTATAAACATTGCTTTCTGATTATACATTGGAATACATTATGTGTGTAATAATGTTATTTTAGTGTTATAGTACTATACTAGTAAATAAAACAAGTCTAACAATATCAGGTAGCCATTGCATGTATACTGGTAAACAAAAGGTTTATGCCTTATTCCTTCTTTTCATGGATTTTTATTTTAGTAGTCTGATGAGATATTGAATTGCACATTCCCTTAGCCTGATTGTTCTGAGTTTGATTTGTCGGTATGCCTGAGTGTGAAAGTTGTTAGTTTGTATTTGCCAGTTAATTAAATTCATTTTTTTAGTATTTATCGAGTTAGGTTGTCATCGCAATAATATAACCAACAGAGGTTTTTGGTCCAAGATTTCTTTTTACAAAATATGCTTTTTCTAGATTAAAGGACAGAAACTGGTTTAGCGCCACCTGGTGTTGGCTAGTTTGCAATGATCATGTTTGCAATATGATTTATGTTTTGTGAGTAAAATATGTGGGTTTGTAGAGCATCCCTTGTTGCTGGGAGCTTTTTATACATAATTATGGAGGCACAGATGTTATTTATTACACGTATTTAAAGATTATGAAAATGAATGTAAAAAGGGTAGTTTATAAGATGTATACATTGTCAAAACTTTCATACACAGCAGCAGAAGTAATTTGTATGGCGAATGTATAACACGCAAAACAATTATTCAATAAAATCTGAAAATGTATACTATTATCTAGATCTATTAGGAATAAATTATTGTCAAAATCATTCCATAAATAGGGGTTAAAAAAAATTAATCCACCATTATGACCAACAGTGTATATTACAAAGCAAGAGTAGTCAAAGTGACCCATAAGCACATCTTGTAAATTGGGTGATCTACAAACTACGATTGTAAAATAACCTACACGTTCCATAAAGTGGGCTCAGTAATGTGGGAAAGGGGGTTCCAGTCTTTATAGTCTACATCATTCTTTGTCAACCTTTTTAGTCACAAAACCCTTTTAAGAAATAATAAGCTTCACGTCACCCCAATCCCGAGTTCATCACAAATGATTCGTTTTTGCATCACTCTGACATTGGTCATTTGCCAGGAACACACGTACGGGTATATTATTTTGATTCCTAATTTTGAGAGAGGATGAAGCGAGCGAGCCAACAAAACATGTTTGTCTTCCTTTATTTTTTGTGGTAAAACATTATTTTGTAATCAACACTGTACATAATACACACAATAATGTATACGGGCACCACTCAGAAGAATATACATGAATACTAAAACACATATACATATACAGACGATTAGGGCATTTGAATGCCCAAATGTTGCAAGTGAGTGAAGCGAATGAGCATGGCCAAAAATCGCATAGAAAAGATATAAGATATATGTTGGTACCTTGCTAACATATGTAGGATTGTGGAGGGGAGGGCACTTTGTTGCTCACGTACGTAGGTTTTTAAGTTCTTGGCTGCCTGAAATTATCCTGTTTCTAAATGTTGCGAACGAGCGTGGAAGATAGACTCTTTATTATCTTCAAAATGATAATTTGAGACTTTTAAAGTACTACGTTACATTAGATTGTGTTCAGTGACGTATGAATGTGAGAAAAGTATTACAGAGTGTTTGTCTTGCTGCCACATGCAGAACATGTCCACACATTATGTTGATATTTTCTTGTTGCTGTTGTTAAAAGTCTTCCCCTTCTTCCTCTTCCTACTCGTTTACTTCTCTTTGTTTTCTTCTTCGTCTTTGTCTTTATTTGTTGTTGTTTAATAGTAGTATTATTATTCCTGCTTTTCCTCATCCTCCTTCTTTTTCTTCATCTTTTTTCTTCTCCTTCCTTCGTTTTTGATGTTGTTGTTCTTCTTCTTTAGTTATTTTATTAATTCTTCATCTTGTTAAAGTCAGTCACCCCTACCACATATTTTGTCAACATTCTTTCCAATTAAGCGAGCACCCCTCCCCATCCTCTTCCCGATACTGGGATATGGAATAACTTGAGAGATTGTTACAAAGCAAAATCTGCCACATTCTTGACCATCAATAATATATTAGTTGAAGAACTAACGGGATGGTGGTATCTTAGGCATTTACCCCCCCCCCCCCCTCCCCCTGTGTCCTCCTTGCCTAGGTGTCATAAATGGAATTATAATACGTTAAACCCTAAACTGGGGTATTTACTTCCTGATATTCTTTTCATTTCGATTTCATTTCTTCTTCTCTTTAAATGGAGAACACGATTTATTACATTATTGTTATAGTACATCAATGGAAAACGTTTGGTAACCATGAATAAGTAATTACCGTCATGTTCTACTAAGACATGAAACACTCCGGGCAAAGGTACGCTTGCTTATCTTCAAAAACCGCAGACAACAACCGTATCACTGTATTAGTTAAATAAGTAAATAGAGTTGTGAGAGATACCCTACCAAACGGACTATTTGCCGTAGCCTGGACCCGTTTGTTTCTTCGCTCAAATTAACGATTAAGCAACTACAAACACGCGTATCGTAAACATAAAGACAAAGATTGGTCCCCAAACCCATCTAAGCCATTGAATTTTAGAGTGGCCAAAAAATCTCATTACTAAAAAACTCCATATTTCAACTTGCAAAATATGTTGAAATATTATTGATTGAATTCTGCACAATTTAGCAAAGAGGCATTTTACTTATGTACTAAAGTTTCAAAATCTACTCTTTTTAAGACCTGGGTCCTGTAATATAAAGAGGTGCGATTGCTCCGAATCAATCGTAAGTCCTCTAATCAATCGCAAATGTTCACTTTCCTCATAGCATGAATATAGTTCATCTATCGCAAATAAAATCCGGTTAATTCAAACTGTTTATAAGACGCGGCACAGGTAACCAACGGGTAACCGAATAAAAAGACAATTACAATTTTAGAAATACAGGATATGTGTTAAGGTATACTTAGAACATGCATACACCTATATATGCATATGTATGTATATATATATATATATATATATATATATATATATATATATATATATACAAATATCATTTATTTGGTTTTCATAAATATATATCAACCTAAATCCATGAAGACGTGACTTCAATATGAATCATACCTATCTATTTTCCTATACATAAGTTTTTTTTTTCAATATGCAAATTACGGATGTATTTTCTTGACCATTTAATCGAGGGTCAGTAGTTATTAAATCTGTTCTAACTTGCGTCAGTCAATTGTAATGGTAGTTTGCTTCTTGTATATCAAGTTTCTGAAAGTAAGTGGCTTGTGATGGTTTTGCCGTAACACTACAAAGAATCAAATAAATTAGATAGTCATTATAACCTAAGCTATAACGAAAAGAGAGAGAGAGAGAAGGAAGAAGGAACAAAGGAGATGAAGAAGAAGATAATACAACAGATGAAAAGAAGATGAACAAGAAGATGAAATGACGATGAATAAGAGGATGAAATGACGATGAATAAGAAGATGAAATGACGATGAATATGAAGATGAAATGACGATGAATAAGAAGATGAAATGACGATGAAATAAGAAGATGAAATGACAATGAATAAGAAGATGAAATGACGATGAATAAGAAGATGAAATGACGATGAATAAGAAGATGAAATGACGATGAATAAGAAGATAAAATGACGATGAATAAGAAGATGAAATGACAATGAATAAGAAGATGAAATGACAATGAATAAGAAGCAGACAAATACAACAAGGAACAGAAGGAAAAAACAAACAAAGTTGTGCCTGGCACCAGTCTTCTAATCAACAAATCAAACAAGACAAGAGAAAACAAAGAGAAGACGGTAAATCAGTGTGTCACGTGACTTTAATCCGCCCCTTTTAGGTCCCTTATTTAACTAAAACAAATCTTACACCTCAATTCGGCTTCCATTCCTTTAAAATGTTCAGATCGTCGGAAGAAATCCAATAATTATCTCCGAGATCAAAACGCAGGAGAATCTGGAAGTTTTTGTGAAATTATATATACGAACCTGGACATTTTGCCCTTTTCTTGCTAAAAAAAACCAAGAGTTTCAGACAGAAATGGAACAAGAATAAAAATGGATAGCATCACTTTAAACGGGATTTTCATCTTCGTCATTTTCCTTGCGACATGCACACTTTGTAAGTATATATTTCCTCAGTCTATAAGTTATAACATCGTTCTTATGTTTAAAGTAGAGGGGAGAGGATGCGGTGTACTTAGGGGTAGAGGGGGCAGGGGACGGCGCACAAAGAAAAAAATGAGATTTAACTTAAAGGTAACATATCAGAGAAAATGGTGGTAATAACATTAATGCGGAAATCCCTGGCAATCTAATAATTTCCTCCGGATTTTTAAAAAACATGGATAATTAGTCCATTTTTCAGTGAATTATGGATTGTGTTTTCATCCATTTGAACCCATTCATGCATCCGTGAAATGGACTATCAGGAATATGTGAGAGCAATTTCATATCAATAGCTTTATTGAAAAAAGTCACTTTTGCACTAAGACTTTGAATATGAAGGATTTTGCTGTTTGAAGAAATAAATGTCTACCCTTAATATTGTGCACACCGGAATTAAATATTTTACTGAGTTATTCTTTTATGTATCATATTTCAACTGGGCAAGAAAAATATGTTATCAAAATTAATCACCAAAAATGAACTTTGGCGCATTTTGGTTCCTCCCTGGCCCACTGTGCGACTTCGTGAAGAATTATAACAATAACAGGAAAGTCATGTAACTTCTATAACAAAAAATCCTCTGATGGCTTTCCACAGAATTATTACCTACAAATATATTTGTTTAGGTGCCTTGACAGTTTTGTCCAAAAAATAGAGCTATTTATTGTATTTTTCCAAATATAATTGGATTTGAAGAGGTATCGTTTTCAGGGAACTTTTCTTAGTTGATATTCTGACACTCTAGTCTCGATAGAATTATAAATAATCATGAATTATCTTAAACTTAACCAGAACTCCTGAATACCAGAACTACCAGAATATTTATCTGTTAAGGCGTAAATTCAAACAGTTTGAGCAACTTTGATTCAGTAAAAAAAGGGATATTTGTTTAATCTCTTTTCCTAACCACGTGAAAATATTCCAGGCTCCAAAGAACAGGCTTGTCTATTCCCTGATGTAATGCTGACATTTTCTAGCGCAATCTCTTTTTCTTCCTCTCTCTCTCTCTCCCTCTCTCTCTCTCTCTATCTCTCTTTTTCCTGGCACGATATAAAATCATGAGGAGGTATTTCTCTCAAGATGAAAGGAAATTGTTTGAATGACTTTGAATTCTCTCTCTCTCTTCTAATTGCATTTTCCCTTTTACATAAATGAGCTCCACAACGGTTAAAGATAACCACATTTGCATAATCTTAAAACGAGCAAAGAATTTCGAATATCATTCACCAAAATCAATGGATTTTGACCCCGCTCATAAAGTTTGCCTGTTGTAATCAGCTTAGTTTGAATAATAAGAACAATAAAACTGTTTTGGGGGTCTTCTTTTTTTAAAGTCCGTCCTTAATTACCATTGCATACTCGAACATTATAATCATTTAAAATTATAACTTCAAGAACTAGGAAATCTTTATAATAACTAAGAAATATTTAAAAACACCTATTTTTTTCCTCGTCTGGAAAAGTTGCATCACAAAACATAACTGTACTAAAATTATTCAAAAAAATATATACGATTCCTGAAAGCTAAATCTTGAAGTTCTAGATAATCTTAAGAGCAACTCAAAAACTATTATACAAAACAGGGTAATAAGTGACATTCGGCTAATAAATCGATGGACTTCAGATTGTGTAAGTAAGTCTGTTTTATGTAATTAAGTGAGTTCGAATTATGAAAAACACGTATTATTTTCGTGTCGTGAAAAATTACGTAATTGACCTAACAATACATACTTAAAGAGAACAATTGAAAAGGAGTTGTGTTTACCGTGCAAGCATGTACCAGGACTGTAGCTACTGGCTCGCATGTTTTATTACGCTTTATATGGAGGAATGTTTGCCATGTAATTGAGCTTAGTAAGTAGCTGCAATGCAGCTCAGTTCGAATTATGAAACAAATCAAACCTTTTTATTGTCTTTTTTTAAAGTCTTTTATTATGAAACACACCGCTCCTGTATAACTGAAAAGTATGATTGATGATAGTTACACATAAAGTACTAGACAATCTTAAAGGTAATACAAACTTTTGGGACATTTTGAAAATTGGATGGATAGTGATTCTTTACAATTTTGATATATTTGGATGCCTCTGTGGAAAATTTAGCCCCTAAAACACTTCTGCTTTCGAGAAATATTGAATACAAAAAATTACCGGTGCTCCCGGTAAATCGTGATAAATTTCAAATAGCGCCTACGGCCGCACAAAAGTAGCTGCGACCATGGAAATCTCAGAATGTGCAGTTGTGATATATATTTTCCAAATGGGAATAGCTAGTCGGTCGATTTTAGTCAAGAAACATTGTTTTATAGCTTTATTAATATCTTGACCTTGAGAAGGAGCTATACAGCATCAATAGTTTATTATTTAAGATTTCATAACTTTAGACCCGATTTCAATCCCGACAAGGCGACAACGATCACTGATGGTGGTAGGATCGCATATGCTTCCAATATGTTCATTTGAACCAAATTCATGACCCCATACCGAAACTTTGTATTACCTTTAAGAAAAAGGTAGGACATATCTGGGGAAAAAATGTTCAGCTAATTTGAGGGTTTTGAACTGCATTCAACCAATTTGAATATGTAATCACCTCAGTTCGAATTATACAAAATACCTGTTTTCCTCGTCGTTTAGAAATGTTGCATCATGAAACATAACGGCAATCAAAATATTTGGAAAAAATAAATATGGTTCCTGGATAATGATATCATACATGAAAGTATAAGGAAATATTCGGATCGCCTAAGAAATATCTCAAGACAGGGTAATATGTGCAATTGCGCTCAATCGATGGATTTAAACTGCGCTAACCTTAGTTTGTTTCACGGAATTAAAAAAAAAATAGATTCGTATATAAAAAAAAAATAAAAAAATATATATATATTGCTTTTTAAAATATGCGGGGACAAATATGCGGGCCATGAGAAGAAAGAAAAGGACATGGAAATATTATGATTAACTAAAGAATTTCTCAGTACAGGATAATAAGTGCCATTCGGCTAATAAATAGATGTATTTCGAATGTATGTGAGTAAGTCTGTTTTATGTAATCAAGTGAGTTTGAATTATGAAAACAGCTTTTCTGTTCGCATCGCTTAAACATGATGTAACATAAAACGTATTGCCCGTACATACCTAAAGAGAAGGTTGAGTTCTGGGAAGAGGTGAAAAATAATTTGTGAGCATTACTCATTCTTATTATGCAAGCGTGGAAGAACATCAGTTAAGACATGTTCCCTGAAAAGCATGGCTCTTCAAATGCCTTCATATTCTAAATATGCATGTTACATCGTAAAAATCGGGGGCCGGTTTTTTACGCCACGTGTTCGTGTAGTCCCATATACATCTTTCTGTGCAAGTGTTTGTAACTTTACCAAGACTTGGCCAAATTTCTTATCATTTTGATGATTCCAGAACCTTGCAATACACACAAATTCTTATATGCTAGATGATCAACCTTTTCTGGTCGGTTCCACACCGTTTCTTTCACAATGCAATCGCATGACCATAACTCAACTTTATCTTTAAAGAGTACAATTGATGATGATTTTGTGTTTTTTCGTGCAAGCATGTGCCAGGACTTAAGCTACTGTCTCGCATATGTAATTACACTTTATCTTGAGGAATGTTTGCCAGATAAAAGCTGCAAGGCGACCTTTGATCTTTAATTACATCAATGGCATCATTAAAAGCTATTGTTTGGTGAGGATTATTCAGTACATTACGTGTAAATAGTTCAAACTCCGCCTGCAGACTAGCGTGAATGATCGTAAAGAAGTTAAATTTGTATTGACCTTCAGCCTACTATATCGAAAACCGACGAGACCGAAATACCTCTTGACCGCCAGCTCACGAGACCGACATCTTTTGAAGACCGACGGCGCGTTGGACCGAAATCCCACGAGACTGAAAGCCCACATCACCGACATCTGTCTCGTTATATTCCTCTTGACATACGGCCCAAAAGACCGACAGCCCTCTAGACCGAGGCTACAGTCCACAAGACAAACAAACAGTGTTCTAGTGTGATTAACCAGATATGTGGAGGGGGCAATTGGGGGAGGGGGAGACGAGGCATGGGTATATTGGGCTGGGTGGTATTCAATGTGAGGGAGGGGGGAGGAGCGATAGAGTTGATGATGATCTTTCCTTTTTTGTTGATGTTCTTAATTTGCTCTTGACAGTGCCTCCCTCCCCATCAACATCCCCACTCTTTTCTTTCTCTCTCTGTCTCTCCTCCCGCTGTTGATGCCCTTTATCTATGTTTCTTAATCTGTCCTCTAAATATATCACTCTCTCTTTCTCCTACTTCTTCATTTAAATTTCTCTCTCCCCCCCCCCCCCCCTCTCTCTCTCTCTCTCTCTCTTTCTCTCTTTTTCTTGTTTGCTCCCCTTTGCGATTCTTAACCTCTCTCCCTAAAGTGTACCAATCCCGAAACATTCTTTGCTCTTGATGTTAGGGATTTCAATTTACTATACTTCCTTCGAAATATGGCCTTCAAATATTACGTCTACAAAGCGGGTTTTTAGTATAACTTATAGGACGTTTAACGTCAGTGGTAAGCATATGGACGATATGTTTAAGAGAAGGTTGAGTTCTGGTAAGAGGTGAACAATAATTTGTGAGCGTTATCATTCTTATTATGCAAGTGTGGAAGAACATCAGATAAGACATGTTCCCTGAAAAGCATGGCTCTTCAAATGCCTTCATATTCTAAATATGTCATGTAACATCGTAAAACTCCGGGGTAGGATTTTTACGCCACGTGTTCGTGTAGTCCCATATACATCTTTATGTGTACAATGTTTGTAACTTTACCAAGACTTGGTCAAATTTCTTATCATTTTAATGATTCCAGAACCTTGCAATACACACAAATTATTATATGCTATAGATGATCAACCTTTTCTGGTCGATTCCACACCGTTTCTTTCACAATGCAATCGCTTG